CAAGGTTCGATGTAGGCAGTCAAGAACAGTGAAGTATCGTATCTTAGCCACGACCGAAGCCGTCAGTATTCGTATTCACGCACACAAACACATCTTTTTCCGCCCAGAAGAAATTTGTGCAAGCACTTAATCTCCCTGGCACAATTCATCCACGCCACGTGTGCAATCGCCTGAACATTTGACGCAGTGATCAATTTCAGACAAGCACACAGTCACGCATGATTGGAGGTAAAGCTGAACCATCACGACTCGAAATGGTTGTTGCTATGGTACAGTAGAGCTAAAAAGNTTAGAGGACTGGAAACTTCATGACTAAGATCTGAACAACACAATCTGGACAACATTTGTTATAAGTTACCCCTTGGGCCAATAAGTGCTTGCGTCACATGCACTCAGTGCAGACGGTTGAACGCGTGGATGGGGTCTCTTTGAAACATTTCTGTTAGAATCGGCCATAGCTCAAAAGTTCGCGTGTGGCTTGCCCCCAGTCACTTGTAACCTGGGATTCCATCCACTCCATTAATAATTAAGTTTTGTGATTGGTCAGCTCAACCCGGTAATTTGGTACGATATGTTAAACTGGGTTATTTTCCTATCGACCGTCAACACCTGATATGAATGTCCAATCACAGGAGTGAAGCTTTACTTATCTTCCGAATCCAGTGAAAATTTTCATTACATTGTGCAAGGTAGAACCATGTTGTCGACTTTAAAGAGGTTTTGTGATGAACAATATCGTAATCAGAACTTTCAATTGTGGCTCGTTGTCTTTGTTCAGCAAAAAACTAACTTCTGATAAACATATAGCAACTGTCAATATAATTTATCATTTAAGCCAAAGCATACTTACAACCAAATGTTGGTGTTTAATGAAACGAATCTATTTGGTTACCTGTGGAATATTTCCAAAACTTCGTGTCTTTTTGTCGACAATACGATTTCACTATCTGCAGTTAATTGGGGTGTGACAATGGGCTAATTTGGTATTTGTTTCTTATTCATCGTCGGTGAAAGAGAGTGGATAAATTTCACACAAAACCTGAGTAAATCTCCAAAATCTGTTTTCTTTTTATAGATTACACATATGCGCGATTCGAGTGAGAAGAAACAAAATCAAATACAATCTTTGTTGACTACCGTGGCTCAGTTAAATGTGGATTTGAGCTCCAAAGAGCGTGAACTGGAAGAGTGGAAGGAACGATCAATAGGGGCCGAACGAAAAACGGAACAGTTGAACACAGAACTTCTAGAGGCGACTGAGCGATTTGATCGACTTCAAGATGCACTGAAAGCGGCGGAGTCCATTCAGACTACTATGAGTGAGCGAATCGCACAGTTGACTAGGCAGTGAGTCCCACTGTTTGCTTTTCTCCCTCCTCATTGTAAAAACCTCATTACAAATTATGGGTAGCTCGGGGGCTATAGCGGTGCGCCATCGGATGGGTCTTCTATTCGCAAATGGCTAATCCGTAATACGAGAGCAGTTCCTCTCTGAATTAGTGGCCATATACAACTATCGGTAACTGTAATGATTATAGTAGTAGTAGTAGCAGTATTAGTAGTAGCAGTATTAGTAGTAGTAATAGTAGTAGTAGTAGTTGTTGTTGTTTTTGTTGTTGTAGTAATACGCACGGAACCCGGAACACGAACTACACGATAGGAATCACAGGACACGAATCAAGGATCAGGCATCACGGACTGGATTGCGGAAGCACTGAACCGCAATGGCACGAGCTCGCAATATCCCACGTGATTGAGACGCGAAGAAAAGGCCACAAGTATGGTAGTTCGTAGCTCGTTTACTCGAAGAACTGAAGGCGATTAAATAATATGTACAACAGAAGATCATTGGTTATCTAGGTTTCCGCCAATCGTATTACAGTACTGCTTGCATAATTCTGCTTCTGTCTGCACATTCTGGCACAACCTGCCTATGGCGTGTAGTCAAAAGCCGAATGCGTGTCACTGACGTCACCTTTCAAATTTGATTGGTCGCAGGTGTCCAGAAACTGTAACGCGCCGCTCCAGGGTGGGCGTCATCACGTAGGCCTGGATCACCACAGTAACTTTTGAATCTATGAAAAAATTCAGTCTAACAATTGATATCTTTACAAATCTTCACAAATTCCCGTAGAAAGTGTCTGTACGAATCTGGCCTGCACCCAATTAACTTCTTCATCATCACATTGCTGCCCTCCAGGCAGCACCAGGCAGTGCACGGAGCAGAAGTTTATCCTCAAGTGGAAAAAGACTATTGAGAATACAACTTTGTACTTATATTCCCAAATTTTCTTCAAATATTTATTCACGAGTCAATTTCTCAAAAGGTCTGAGAGAAGCCACTTGTCATGCCCTATCCTTTTGCTCAAAGTGTTGGGTCAACGAACTAGGGATCTAAATCTTTAACAATGTGCTCAGTTTTCTTGCTTGAATGTCAACACTTTTAAGGACGTAAGATGTAGGGCCTCAGAATTTGCACAGCTCACAACTGCTCTTTTGACATTGCTTGTGCGTCAGAAGTGCCGTTATTCAAATTGGGAACAATGCAAACCTAAGACTCCATACCGACGCGGTCCACTAACGTTACTATGATTATTCAACTAACGATTTCGAGCTGTTTTATCATCTCAGTGCTGAGCAAGCGGTCACCGGGAGTTCGAGCTGCACGGAAACAGTGCAGAGACTGACTGTTCTGAAAACAGATACCAGCTTTCTGTCAGAATGGAGATTATATGTGTTGGTGACTCATCGAGTCACTGGCTTTTCAGGTTTCTCCGCTTGAGGCCTCTCGTCATGCGTGAACCGATCGCAAACGGTTTGGGAAGGATTTTTCAAACAGCAGTGTCAGCTCCGGTATATTTTTTGACGTAGTAAGGTCACCACAAGTAAGAGAATAACTCCAAAATTTCTACTAGTTGATACAGGTGGTAAAAACATCCATGGATCGATGCAAACGCTCAAGACCGACTTCCCTATACGAAATTGGACTAAGTTAACAGACTGGACCTAACAAAGTAACTTGCAAGTAGATTTTCTAAAGTAATTATCCCGTCGTTGCATACAGTTGTCAGATTAAGTAATCAAGAGACACACCAAATTATCAGGTCATCCGGTCTAAGATATTCGTAGTAGGCATCAGAAATGTGAATCTCCGTCGTATAATGCACGACTGTGTCCAGGCCGAAAAAGTCAGGTATAATGATCTTTATGAAAAGCTCCATGATTTGCTCAAGAACACAATACTGTTAGGTTGCCCAGA